TTAACCTCAGCTGCTCCAGGGGTGTGGATAAATGGCTGACCCTGTGCTCTGACCCTAGGCTTCTCTCTCCCTGTTTGTGTGCCTGAGCATCTTATGGAGAGCAAGGGTATGTGAAAAGAAAAATTCCTAATGCAAGAAATTGTATATGACTAATAAAGTGATCTTATCTTATTGTTCTTGTACTCTTATACTTATATCTTATACTTTCAATCACTGCTAGAAATCACCGTGCTTAGGCTGTGTCAAACTTCACTTTTGCTGTGCTTCTCTATGCCAACAGTCCAAGCATGGCTTTTAATTGCAGCATTTGTCTAACGCTATGAAGGCCATGTGAGCCTTGCAATTATATCCTTAATCGACTTATTACTTCCATAACGTGATCCATAATTTCCAGCATTTCTCTGCCGGCAGGGTCACTTAAACTACATACTGTAGCATGGCTTTGCTATAGGACTGAACCATTAACCATGTCACGTACTATAAAATGCCCTTTGGAATGGGAAATCCCAGTAAATCAGGAATTCAGTGCTTTTTCATTCCCTCTTTAGGGAAATGGACTTAGTGCCTTTGTATAAAATGAAGAAGTTTTATACTGCACATAATAGTTTCAGTGTAAAAGATAATGAATAGGTATTTCATAATAGGAGCACATAAATGAATTTGTGATTCATTGGTATCTTTTGGCTTGTAAAATGGTAAAATATTAATTTTCTCCCAAATGTCTCTGAAGGCTTTTTTTGAAGGTTTTCTAATCTTTAAAGATTGCCCCCATCAATTTTCCAAGACTACTTAATAGATGCTAATAAATGTCACGTCTTAGGAGAACGGGATCAGAGAATCTGTGGACTGAATGCTTTATCTGGGACTCGAACTTAAGAGCAGTCCTCTATTGATCTTATTAATGGGGGGAAATGGAAATCATTTTCAATCTCTTGTGAAAACACATTTCCCGGCATCCATGTTTCGCAGTACTTAGTATTTAGGGGTTCCCCATTGAAGAAAGTAATGAAAAAAAAAACAGGATTCAAGATTCAAAACTTTATTTCAATGTTGATAAAGTTGACTGGAATTTGCCCCAGTTCAGCCCACATAAAAATTACTAAAATATTGCATATTACACTTACACATGCACAGTACACGTTATTCATTCAGTTAAAATGGAAAATTTAAAATTTTAGAGTCTATTTTAATGCTCATTTGTTTTGTATTTGTTCTTTTTATATTCAAATATAAACATAATAGAAATTGGTTCAATTTGTACTTTATTATGCGTTTATTATGCTATATAACGTAACATTATCCTTGCAAAAACAGATCTCGACAGCTGAACAATATGAAGAATATTATTATATATGAATATATGAAGAATTTTATTATAATGCAATGTGATTCTGACCATCCATCTGTGATCACAAGGACTGCCCTTTACCTTAGTGAGGAGCGTGAAAACCAGAGCCTATTTATGAAACACAGAACAGAATGCAGGACTGAGAGCACTTGATGCCTCTCCTTCCAAATTAAACTAAAGGGACAATTTCAGCCACCGATTCATGTTCTCCATTTTGAATCAAAAACCTAAAAACAAACTGTGAAATTGCATTTATGGCTTTCAAGGTATTTTATATGTGGGTTACGTTTTAATAAATATGAACAAAACATTTTGCTTCAGTATAAAGAGGGTGGTGAATATCAGATTAGTCCTTGTCAGAATACCTGTCAGGATTATTGGTATTCAAAGATTCTGTATTAGCTAATTACCATTAGTATAATTTGGGAATTAGAAAAATGTATCCAAAAATAAAAAGGATAGATGTAGTCTATCATTTTGGAAATAATGTGCACTCAAACAGCAATAACGGGCCAAATTCTCTTATTGCAAAACTGTACGGTTTTCTGAGGTGTTTTAAACTAGGAATTGACTTTCTAATAGAATTGCAAGGAATAATAATGACAAAAGACTGCAGATACATTACAGAGCATGAAATTTCGTAAATAATAGCTTAGAATTAAATGTTAGCTAGATTTCTGCAAAAAGTAAGAGTGCAAAAGAACACTATGAAATAATTAAAGGCTGACCTCGTCTCTTTGTCTTATACATATAATGGAAGTACTGCATAGTCTACTTGACTGTTTAATTGACAAGAAGTAATGAACAGAAATGTCTACATAATTAAATGATTCTGTGTTAATTTTCAGGACAATAGGAACTTGCTCATGCCTGCCTTAATTGCCCTAATTGTCTATTCTGTCATTACAATGAGACGATGTGCCCTTTCGCTGTCTCATGGAAATGAATTCCCCATAGTAGCAGTGTCTGTCCACTGGCTAACAGAACTTGCTTTTTGACCCTATCATAACAAAAGAGATGTAAAGGCTTTAAAAATTAAAACAAAATCTATTCAATCCTGATGGCTTTGAAAGCACAGTAATGATTTATGAATTAAATGCTTAATGTATATCTCTCTCTGGGGACAGGTACATTTTAGGGCAGCTGAAAGTTTTTTTCTTACTTCTTCCTAAAAACACACTTTGCAGGAAGGAAAATGATCATATTATAATCTTAATTTTCAAGACAAAGATCTGTAATCTCTAACTTCATGCTAATTTTCTTTAGCATAAGTGTGATATCATGGCAGGTGGGTCAAGTTTTGGCTCAGCTATGGTAGTTTGTTACACCTTATATAGAGTAGTTTATGTGCATGGCAGATTTTGACAAGTACAATTGTTGACTCTTATGCTTACCATGGGAAATGACAAAACTTTAAATATCCTTCCTTAGAGTTCATTATTCTCAGTTATACTCTATCATAGTATATATGGTAGTATAGTATCTCTATCAATTGTTGATCTCTATCAATTCAACATAAAATAGTACACTATGGAAGAAATTATAGAAGCTTGCTTTTCTGCTGTCTCTGTGGATTAATCATATAAAATCAGTCCTTGAGTCCTGAAGAAAATTAGCAGGTTTATACGTCTTATAAATATACCTGTGCTAAAAAAAGTCCTTCTTGTATTTGTTTTGACTTAACAGTACAGTACATAGGGCATGGCCACCATTGCCTCTGTAGGCTCTGTGAAAGTGAGGTTTTGTCAGTCCCTACAGGAAAGCTTGGAGATCAGTCGTGTGCTCTTCTCTTTATTTATAGTTATGAGGATGACAGTGGATGGGGGCCTAATGTAATGGATGATGAAGGACTCTGGTTTATTGACTGAAATACTCAGCTTTCTGTTTCCAGCACAGTGAATTAACACTGTTATTATGCTTTAATGGACAGGCGAAGACAGCCACTATTGAACAGGCTAATGTTTGCTGGTTTTCCAGAGGACACTGAGGTCTTGAATATAGTGATTTCCTCATTCACCGTGGCCTGAGCCCTAAACGGATTATAGTCTTCTTAATCAGCTTGCTTAAGGGCCCTGTCCTTTTCTTTCAGGTAGAACTTAACTAGTATAAGAAGTTTTATTTTTACTTACAGTGATCTGTATATTTACTCATATGTTACTAAGAGGGAACTGGGGTGGGCGCCACAAATGTGAACATGTAGGAATCATATTCCTGCAATAGTATTCAAAAATAACTTAATTCAGACTATGTCTGGGTGCCTGGGAAGTATTACTCTCCTTAAATACAAGTTCATTTTTGTGCTGAAATTAACTGTGGTATTGAAAAGGCATTGAGGTAAGATTTGGGGTATAGGATATACTGTACAGTAGGTTAATGTTATGCTGCTATAACCAGAAGTCAATTAGGAAAACTGTGTTTTAAGCCTTTAAAAAAATCGAGTGGAAGAGAAGAAATGCAAGAGAAGTTCATAATTTCCGTTTTAAATTTATTTTTTTTAATGACTGGAGAGATTATTAGTTGGAGTGTTGAAAGGGCATTGAGGTGAGAGCTGAGGTGAGCTAGGGTTAGGAAAACAGGAAGGTTGTTAAGAAAATTATTGTTGATGTTGTGTTTAAAAGATGATTGTATGAGGTCCAGATTAATCTCTGCTTAAAACTTTGATGTGTCCATATTAAGCTACTAGCTCCTGTTAGACTCACTACTACTGTATATCTAGGCTAAAACCTAGATATACAGTAGGCTAAAACCTAGATATACAGTGCCGTACCTAACTTCATCTTATAATTTACAGTATGTGTCCACATTTGGGTACTGGATACTCTTAGACCTCATACTGTACCTAGAAAACTAGCAATGCAGGACCAAAATACCATTTTACATGTAGTAGTATTGACAGAAAAATGCAATCATTTCTTTGAGGAATCCTTATAGTAACCCGAGAAAAAAACTGTAAAATTGCCCAGATTCAAACAATATCTTGACCCTTTAGTCTATTGGTTACTAGTTTTCAATCGACTCAATCGAATTTCAAAAGCCAGAGAATATCTTGTTCTTTGGAAAGTATTATTTTCTGTCCTAGAAGTGGATTTTAACTGAAATTGAGGATTGTGTTGAAAAGACTCCAAGAACATTTCGAACCTAGCATAAGGTAGTTAGTATTAGGGAAACCACACGGTTGTAAGCAGAACTTTTAGTTGTGTTTTAAATGCTGAAAATAAGAGTGTGAGCTCCAGATTGTTAATTGCTTGAAACTTTGATATGTGCCCATTTTAAGGGGGATCTGTCTTTTTAAGCCTAAGGTTGTACCCAGTCCAATTATTCTATCCAAATTCTAGCCTACTCAGTAGATTCAGTAAATTAATATACTTAATGTCAAAGTTAAGGTAAAAAATGCGTAAGTAATCATAGTTAAATCTCGAGCATTGCTAAATAAGTCCTTTCAGAAACCTAGAAATACCTAAGTTTCAATTAATATCTCAATCATTAGCTTTGGGTTCTAGTTTTGACACAAATTATTTTATTGTTAATGCTCATGTATTCCACAGCCCTTTTCGCACCCTTTATCAGTTCATCTTGCTTGCTGTAATGTCCATTTTCATATTGAATTTTAGGATTCCTTATGTATAGGTGACTTTTGCTCTTCTACCTGCAGGACACAGAGATACTGAACACGGCCGTGCTGACGGGGAAGACGGTGGCAGTGCCGGTGAAAGTGGTGTCAGTCGGAGAGGACAGCGCGGTGACCGATGTGTCCGAATCTGTGGAGTGTCACTCTGCAGATGAGGATGTGGTGAAGGTTCGTATAGTGCACTCCAAAGAAGAGTTTGCAGCCTGTGCAACAGAAGTAAAAAATATCAAAGGTTAGAAGAAAACGTCACTGAGACGGGGATTCCCAACTGGGGCATCAGTCAGTCTGCAAAACCTGTTTTTGTTTTTTCTTCTGTTCAGATAGACGAGTTTTCTAAAAATTCTACATTTTCTTAAAAACCTGAACAGAATTTCATTTACTGCACGTATCCGCAAGGCACTTTCTTTTCAACTTTGCTTTCCTGCAAAACTTTTTGAAATAACCACCAAGACAGAATTAAGATTTCACAAAGTTTGCTGCCCTATTAACCCCACTTCAACGCAAGTGACAGGCTCTGAGAAAGGAATATTCTAATTCCTTACGGATTTAATTATCTGCTGAACACTTCAATACACTGTGTCAGTCTGATGATGTAACTTAAAAAAGAAGAAGAGAAAACCCTAGATTTTATGAGTCTGTCAAACGTATTACAAGTACAAAGGGAGTTAAGTTTTTAGTACTGCATATCAGCTGTGAGTAGAATTAGCAAAGTGATTGATGTATTGGCTTTCTGTTGTCGTTTCTTTTCTTCTTGAAGTGTCACTTCTAGTCAGTCTGCAGTGCTCACTGTAACACGTCTTTAATTAAGCCAAAATTAAATGCTAAGGAAAAAATAAGCACCCGCTCCTGCAGTAATTCGATACTCAAAGAAGAGAATGATGGTCTTCCATCTCTGCGTGGCATTTTGCATTGTCAGCTGGGTGAGTTGCGAATTACCACAGAATAGACACAGCAAAGGCCATTTAAAAGGAGCTGACACTACAAGGGACACTTTTTTGTCTCTTCCAATTTGCATTTCTCAGTACTTGTATGTCAGGAGAAGCAGTGGTGTAGCCAACATTGTAAAGCCAATAGCTTTCATTCTTCCACCTTTGTTTTCTTCCTTTTCTGTATACTAGAGCTCTGTGATCTTTTTTTAGGTGAAACAAGTTATCCTTTCTAAATTTGTTCACTTGTGCTATAAATTGCAATAGATCTTATCCGTTTCCATGACAAATGTAGAACTGGGAGAATAACGAAGGACACCTGATCCTGAGTGGGCAGAAATTCCTTTAGGTGTAGGAATGTACTGTAGCATTTGGTTATTTGATTGTTCTTTTTAAAATTGCATATCAATTATATCCATATTGTTAACTTAAACATACAGTAGCACAGTTAAATTAGCGGTAGCTGCCATAGAGCTGGGAAAAAATGGAGTAGGTATTTTTTTTGAGGTACTGTAGGTGTGAAAAGGCTTAATATTTTTATATACATTAGTAGATGTTTTTTTTTCTTATTTTAGAAGAAAACACCCCTAATGGCACTTGAGAGAATAAGGCTTTTACAATTCCCACCTCAATTCCCTAAAATGTATTTCAACGTTTTTATCCTCGATGTTAATGAAAAACATTATGTTGCTTCAGTTTTCCACTGGGATTTCAGTATGCTGTTTTTCGCACATAAACAAAATCCATTATCTGCTTAGCACATGATGCTTTGATACTACCAAGGGTTTTAGTATTATATAATTTCACATTTCAGACAACAAACTTAATCTTGTACTTGTGGTAGTTTGAATGTACAGCGTTATCTTTGCTTTTAGAAATCAAGCTCTTTTAGTGGGTTGTTCAGTTAAAACACTACTGAGTGGATGAACTCAAGCTAACTCCTTCCTCCTTGGAGAGAAATCAACACACTTGAAGTGAGGGAATTTAAAGATCACTGTTCAGAAAGGTAAAGAAGAGAGTCAGATACAAATAAGCTCTGCAGGGCTGTCAGATTCTGTCTTCGTTTGTTGTAGGACAGGCTCAGATTATTGATGTAAACTGACATTAATATCCTTTGGGGTAGGATGCTGCCTGTTAAATAAACACCAAGTGACATTTAGCCTGAATAATTAATTGTACCAACTTATCCTTTATTATTTAGAATTGAGATTAATGTTTCTTTAAAAGGGTTACTTTAAGTAGTATGTTTACTTCTTCAATCTAATCCCACAACCTCTCAATCATAATCATAAATGAACAAAATTGAAAAGCCTGTGAGTGATGACTTTCAAGGTAAAGAGGAATGCTATATGAATTTATGTTGCACACTTTATTTTCAATGCTGTTTCTGTTCATTAAGGCAATAGAAGGTCTTCAAATATGTATGTCTTTTTAAAAAAGATTTGTGTTCAGTATTCCTTTGCATCTCAGTATTCTTTTAGGACTTCATTGATGCTTTGTCTCATTGACCAGACGTCCTAGCCCACATCGTTCACCCTCCTTCATCCCATCCTGTTTGTCATAGTTATTATTCCACTGGTGACTGATAATTCACTGGTGAATGACTAATACGGTCTATTCACACTTGATGCTTTCCTGCTGCTGTTGAGCTTTAACATTTTAAACACTGAACATTATCCTGCCTCCATTATTAATGCTCAGTGTATGGCTATTCCTCTGCTTACCAAGGAAGCTCCATTTATTCAGCTAGCACTGCATGCTGTGAATATTCTGATTGACCCAACACTGTTCACACGAGAGAGCAATTAAGTGAAGAGACTGCTGGAACTGGAAGGCAGCCCAGAATGATTTTCAGTGCGGTGGCGCCAGTTTCTTCAATGGAGCTTTCTATACAAGCCCAGCCAGGTCTTTCTTTATCAGCGATCTGGAGATGGTAGTGGGCTCTTGCAAACACAAACACTAAAAGATGGCTTCGCCGGGCAAACCTAGGCTTTCTTTTTCTATTTAACATCTGAAATGCGTGTTAAATCACATAGGATAGAAGGATTTTCAATAAAAGCCAAAATCAAGTAAAAGTCTTGTACAGACAAAATGCCCTTCTTTCCACTAAATTTCAAAAACCATCATAGTCATAGTCTATATACAGTATGCCTGGCTCATTTCTCACTCTTTTAAGATCACATCTTAGTTGTTTGGTCCAGATTGTTCTTTTATATGCTTCTAACAAAGTCACAACAATGCTTTATGCAGTGCTACTGGTGAAAGTTTAGTGTAACTTGATTAGGTACCAAATTAATTTCGTGTTCATGTTTCTGTATGCACTGTATGCAGTAGCTGGGAGCACTGTATTTTAATTTCAGAACTATACCCAAAGAGGTTTTGTGTGTCACTGTGATCAGAACTGAACTTCGGCTTGACTTTGGTTAAACAAACATTCTAACTCCAGACAACTCAAAAGGTTTCAAGGTGTAAAAAAGCTTTTTACATGTAACATTGATTTCTATTTCCTGCAATTGACTTCAATTCTAAATTTAAAACAGTTATTGCATCTGTATGTTCTCAGACTTCTAGTATCACACATGTTTACTCATTTTATTTAGTTGTTATGCAGTCATGCTGATTGGAGTTACCCTAAAATATACAGTATGTCAACCAATGTGAAGTGGTAAGATTGGTTCTCATATCAGGCTAAACTGACAAAACCATTTTTACTTTTCACTGTTCTTTTAAGAAGGTGAGGAACTATCCAGTCATATTGATCTTACTACTAGTTTCAGTTTTGTTTTTCAAATATTAACATCTCATTTGACTTTCATTTCTGCTACAAGAATAAACAATACTTCCTCCTAGTTTGCTAGTTGCACTTCCTACGTCCTCCCAAGACTCCAGAAAGTGAAAAGTAAGAAATGGAACGGAGAATGATAGCAATTCTTTAGTATTGCTCTGTTTAAAATGTGAGAACATACTGTAGCAATAAACCTACTACCAATTTAATCAATTTCCCTTTGGGATCAATAAAGTCTTATCTATCTATCTATAAGGAATAATGCATATAATTAAGATCTATTTTGGGTAATACACAGTGCCGTTTATTGCTTACTATGGTTTGAATACCCTCATACTAAAATAATTTGTAAGTATAACAGGTCCTGTATACAGTATTCTATGCAGTTAGTATTACACTATATGAAAAACTCATACCTTTTAAAGTGAATCAAATTCATTGTTGAAATGAAAATCATTTGTTGTTTTATAATCATATGAAATATTGATGTCAAAGCATCTGAGTGTTTTTGTTAAATGTGGATAGATTTTATTACAAAGTTGCAAGAGATTGTGTGCCGTTTGAGGTTCTCCCCAGCTTGAACTATTAGATAATAAGCATGGCTTCTGGAGAACAAATCTATTGTTTATCATTAAGACAGAATAGGGAAGCAATATAAATGATTTATGATATCTAAAACTGTGAGAATAATGGAGAAAAGTCACCAGAAAGTTATGTCTGGCTTAGCTATTTAGATTTTCAACATTGAGTATGCATGCTCTAATTAACACAAGACACTTCCTAGTCGCCTTAAACAGGACACATGGAAAATCAATTTTCATGACAGTGGATAATAAAACAGAATGTGAAATATTTGTTCTCATCAGCCTTTTAGACAGCTAAAGAAACTCGGAATGAAGAAAATATTTTGCCAATAGAAAATGGTTTATAATACAGTTAATCTGAATTCTTTAAATACATTATAAATACTGTGTATATAATGAAGAGTGTTGTAAACAGAATGTAAACCATTATTTTGGCAATTCAGGAGACTGCAATAACCCAAACAAATGAAGAATCCATGCATACTGTAAAGAGAGAGACTGAAAAGTTACATATTGTTTTGTATATATTCAGCTATTTGTGATATTTCATAGTAAGACAGAGATTTTTTTGACATTTCTTTCAGCATTATTTCTGATTTCATGTCAGAGATGCAGTACAGAAAGTAATACTTTGACCTTATAGCTTGGTGAACTGTCCGACATACACTTTGCACTGCTTATGCTTGTACAGTGAGAATTATGTTACTCCTGCTTGTACTATAAAGCACTGAATAAGCAACACCATAAAACTTAATTTAACTATTAAACAGGAATTAATTATTTAACATTAGGGTCAGTCGATGTTAACCCAACCTGAGTTCTGTGAGGTCAACACTTGAAATAATTGAACAATACCTTTGCAATGCTGTGACA